ACTTATTTCACACAATAAAATGGAAATTAATTATTTAAAAATCATACCTTGTATTTTCTGGATTTTTGTTTTAGATTCCATCAGTTGAAGAGTGCCTATGATAAAAATTACAGTCATCTACAAGCTTTGCAAGTGGGAAAACCTGAAAAATCAACAGTGTATCAAATACTTGTTCTCCCCACTGTACATGCATTTTAGAATCTCATATCTGAGAAAACCACTAGACTAAACTCAAACTGCATCATTTAACATATTTAAGGTGAACATTTTTTATGTTTTGATTTAGTTTGCGAGTGGCTTTAAATGGCTGAACAAGAAGGGTTTAACTGTGTTTATTTTTTAAATGCAAGAAGAATCAAAGTTGTAAACAATGTGGAGTTTATGTGATTGTAAATGTCACTTGGAGGATAGGATCTCTGCTAGTGGTTGTAATCACGATCAGAATCCAAACACCGGTTCCGCCCAGACAGGCTGAAAAAAGGCCCACTGGCAGGCGGGTAGTAGTGACATGTGTTGGCTGTCACTAAACCACCACAACCAGGACGGTGCGGACTATTTCAGGGAGGTAAACCGCAGCCTGTTGTCGGCCAGAGCTCCCCCTTGCAGCCGCTGGTTTGAGCTGAACATGTCGGCGCGGCAGCGGAGCTCCCATGTCAGCTCCGACTGCCGTGTTTACAGCGGGCGTAGCGCCGGTGGTCATGTGCCTGCCATTTGTTTCCTACACAACACACACACACACAAACACTCCGACACAGCCCTACATGGTCCTGCTGAGCTAGCTGGCTAACGGACGACACTGGCAGCCTTTCGCACTTGCCGACAAAAGCAGCAACACTCGCTAGCGGGATTTAATACGAGGACATGACACACATCTTCAAAGCCACAGAAAAACCGTAAACAAGTTAGCCACAAAGGAGAATCCTGCTAACAGCTAACGCTGACAGCTACTCGGCTAGCTTCAGGTTCTTGCTAACTCAAAAGGAGCCTCATGAAACCGGTTTTTGCGCGGTGTATTTTAATTTAAAAATCACCCCAGATAATAGTTATTTAATTCTCTTATTAATGTATGGCCGACTGGGTGAGTCACATTTTAATATTATTTTTAAAAAGAAAAAGAAAGTACCTGAGCCAAGATTCAGCAAAAATCCCCTTTCAGATTTTTTTGTGATTGGATGACTTGGCTATGTCTGCCTGACTACAAAGCCGACGTCTGTTGTGATTGGTCGGCTGTCAAGAATCTACTCGGATACCGACAGAAGGCGAGATCCTATTCGCCGAACAGAAATATTATTTCTGCATCGATTTTTCTGATTGGACGCTATTTCCTGGTCTGCCCAGTTACAAAACAGAAGAATTTGTCTGATATAATTTGCCTAGCAACAGCCTCCGGTAAAGAATCTTGAGTACAAGCAATAAATAAATAAATAAATAAACGTAAAGCAAATATTAGAATTACATTTAATACGTAGATACATCATCTATGAAGTGTTTATACAATAGACCAGCTATTTCTTCATATTTAGCTTTATATGTAAGAATTACAGTTAATCAATTATCAGGCTTTTCTATGGATGTTTTTAATTTGAGTCCAGCCTTTCTATTTGGCCATGTATATGAAGAAATTAGGTTTTGTTTGATCACTTAGCCACCAAACCATGACCTAGAAATTTTTAAAACATTGTATATGCACAAATTGTCTATTTGTGGTAATTGAATAATGTGTTTTTCATTTTTCTGATGATCATATAGTCTTTCGAGTGTTGTAATGCAATTGAAGTTGTATTTGCATCATTTCAAGTAAAAAAATAATTAAAAAAAATTTTTTTTTCTTTCCATGGAGATACTTGCAATCTCCATCTTAACCACCAGATGGGGCCAGTTGTTACACAGTCTTGAAGTGACTGATACAAATTCTGATGTTTATTTCACTTTTGTATTAATTTTTCCCTTCTATACTGGAACATATATATTTAGATGAAATTACAAAATTTTCATTTTAACAAATAACCTTTACAAAACAAATAAAAACCAAAAAACAATACAAATTTCAATAATCACATTTATTTTCCATTATACAAAAGTAACCATAAACAGAAAGAAACTAAACTTGGATAGATAAGATGGATGTGAACTGTTGGTTGTTTCTGATGAAGAAAAAAACATTTTTTCATTCAGCTTGTTTTCATTCAAACCCACTGCAGAGAAAAAAGAAAATAAGACAAATTAATGCAGAACATTATACATAATGATATTGTAAAACATTTTTTTATTAACCAAACACCTCACCTGACCAAATGGGCAATATCCCAGTTGGTTTCTGAGGACAGAGGGCCAATGATCTCCACCCCTTCCTCTGTTACAATGGCAATCTCGTGCTGAAATAAAAACAACACATAATCATAAGAAAAACACTCCTCTGACTGATAAAAAGGATTGCACTTTTCTGAAGGCGAAACAGTAGTCAACCTGTATATTATCAGAAAAATCAACAAATATGAGATACTCCGTAAAGTTCCAAATACTCCAAAGTTTAGTGGGAATGGTTTTTTTCAGACCTTAGATCTGGGATCAGTTGAAGGGAAATGAACTCACCCTGTTGTAGGAGCGGGCATCTCTGTAGTACAACACTTTGAGGCAGCGCTCCACTAGTTCCCGAGCCTCCTGTTTGGTGATCTCTGCTTTATTCTCAACTACCTCCCTCATCAGTGGCTGTAAACACACACAGTTTGAAGGCTTCAATTTGTGTGCAAAGCTTCTCTAAGAACTGAGGTTGCAGTGCAGAGCGACTTGTTTTAAACACAGAATTTAAATGTTTAAACATGTCAAAGTTTGTAAAACGGCACTCTAACAGTTTATAAATGAAGCTAATGTGATGTTTAAGTGTGAAAGCCAACATGACAACACATTTTGGAATTTCACTCTCAGCTCTAAAGCTAATGAGAAAGTGATAAAGGATTTGTGTGAAATCTGTCAGCAGCTTGATGAAGTAAATAAAAAGCAAAGTCAAAAAAAAAGGGGGCTAAACTCACCTGAGCCAGATATGCTCCAAAACCAGTGGCCACTGTGGGAGCCTCGTAAGCTACGCCCAGCTTGTCCACATAACCTAGGAAACTAGAAAAATAAACACATTTGCGTTACTACTTCATATCTCACAAAACCGAGGTGAGACGTTGCTGGCTGAAATGAGCATTTTTAAGCACTTTGTTGTGAATGTGAGTAAACCAGACCCGTCAGGATTTTGAGAAAATGTTTTGTGATTTTTGCAGCTTAAAATGTTTGTTTTTGCAGCAGCTTTTTCACGATGCTTTCTATTTCAAAGCTGAGGTCTAAAATGTATCGAATAGAAAGAATCAGCTGAATTACAGCCTCTGTGTAAATCAGCTGATGATTACTTATATCTTCCCGTCCCACATTTATGTTGTCAGCAGCTAATGATACTATACATTTAAAGCACTTCTTCCTTGCAACTCATTGGGCTTCATGCAAGAACATGTTCGTATTCTTATCCTACATTTCTCTTACTTCTGTTCGTACGAACATGTCACGTCAGATTCAACAAACTCTTCTATCTTCAGGAAAAGTGTGTAAATGAGCTGCGTAAATTCCACCTGTTTGTATCCAGCTGCTCGTGCACGCGAGAGGAGATTAGCATAATTACCACCCCAAAAACACCATATAAGGCTGTGTTTCCTGCCTCAGATATCAGGAAGTGTTCATTCATGAAAATGACAGTGAAAACTAAAAAGAAAAACTTTACGAGTTCAGAGATTGAAGTCCGTCTGTCAGAGATCCAGAAAAGAAAATCTGTCATTTTTAGCAGGTCAGCTGTGGAATAAAAAGTACTACTAAAAGTATAAACAACTGTGTTAAATCATTTTCATTTATTCAGAAGCGGAAGCGCAGCGCACCGTACACCCCCCCTCTCCCCCTGCGCGCTGCGCGGTCGCTGGAGGTCTCAGATGCGGGTTTGAAATAAGCATTTTAAAATGTTTTCAAAATAAGTCTGGCACTTTGGAGAAAACCCAGGACTTGCTGGAGGGATTATGTATCCCCTCAGGTCTGGGAACGTCTCGGAGTCCCCCAGGACGAGCTGGAAAGTGTCGCTGGGGAGAGCGGGGTCTCCTGCTGCCCCCGCACCCGATCCCAGATTAGCGGCGGAAAACGGACAGACGGACAATTTATATTGTWAGTCTAAATTATTACATTTAAAATGATAACTCTAATTCAAGCAGAATAGCCTATTGTCAACATAATTATGGAGTGTGATTTATTTTCAACTCAAAATATCTTCAAACTAACGAAATATAAAGTTATTAGTGAAGAAAACCCGTCTGGATAACAGCAGACTGACTTCAGGTAAAATATACGACAGGTCTGGACCACTCGTGAATTTTGTTCGTATCTGAAAAAAATCTTAGAATACGAAAACATTGGTGAATGCCACAAATTCTCCTAAATCACTCGTACGCACAACTTAAGAACAAATCTGTGCGTACGAACGGTTCTTGCATGAGGCCCATTGTCTTCACCTCTAGCCGGGTCATCACCCAGCTGACTGAAAAAAAAAACCATCCAAACATTCCTAGCATGTTGTCAATGCTACGAATGGGAATTTGGCAATTTTCATTTAATATCTGAGAAAACAGACCTGCGCAGATTCAAGTGGTTTGTTTGATATCCGGTATAATAATGACAAAATACCACAGCAAAACTGTTTCCCCTCTTTAAACCAGGACGTCTTACCTCTCCCCGTTGTAGAACCCTCCGATGACGACAGTGTTCCACAGGGGATTCATCTTGCTGCGACGGTTGTACATCACTCTGGTCAGCCAGGAGTGGATAGCCTTCGGGCTGTAGCTGTGGCCATCCCCAAGCAGCTCTTCATCGATCCTAACAGGAAAACAATAAAGTTTATAGAAACACAGCACACAGCAGCAGCAGGCTGTGCTTCTGCTCAGCAGCTTACACCATCTGTTCGATGACCTGTTTCAGGTACTGGTAGTCAGCGTAGTCGCCCGATGCCCCCAGGATCGTGTTGTCGTTCACCTGCAACACAAAAACAGATTAAACAGGTTTTCATAGTTTTATATTTTGTACATGCTTTTGGTTTTATTAACCGTGGTCCTCACCTTCATGAGGCGAGAAATGTTTCTGAACCGAGCCAGAGAGCCGTACGAGCCCAACATGTCGGCTGCAATGATAACTCCGCCTTTAAACTTAACACCAAGCACGGATGTTCCTGTCACCATCGGGTTGCTGTGGAGAAGAGGAAGTTATTCTCACAATCTACTTGTTTGTAAATAAAATAAAATCTGTGATTAGTTGAAAGCTGAAATTCTGGCAAGTTACCAGCTTAACTCTGTCACATCATGGTTAAAACAACTCTTAAGTGTCAGGAAGTGGAGCTATTTACGGATGATAAATTCTCCTGATTTTAGAACAGCAAAATTATAAATTTCACAGTTGTGTAGAAAACTTTTTCTAATACTGGTTGATGTAAGAGGGAAGATTTATTAAACTTAAATAATTATTTTCAAAAATTCATGAAAGAAAAAAGTTACAACCAATTTTAAATTAATTACATTTTTTTATCTAAACAAATTCAGTCAGAATAGTTAAACAGTCCTAATGAAAATAACTTGGTCACTTTGGTTAAGATGTATTTGTTTATAATTTTAAGATTATCCATATTATTCAAAATGATTTCGCTAAAACGTAGACAAACCTCATCGAAACAATATTACTTCCTGTCACCAAGCAAGGTAGCTCATGAGTAGTTAGTTAGGTTAGTTATAAATCACAACAGAGGGTTTCTTTTATGCATGGAAACAAAAACAAAGTTAACTTGGCTAACACGGCAAGTCAACAAAACAACAGAAATAGAATAAAAAGCCATGTTTCATGATTAAAAATATATATATAATATACTAAAACTATCGATTAAACAAACGCCCTTGTTTCTGATGGGCTATAACATTTAATTTGATGAAAAACAGCGATTTTAGCATCAGACTTAGCATCCGTTTCTCCATGATGATACAGCACAGCAGCGGAGCTAAAACCGAAACCGACAGCATTCGGGTTCAGATTTTAAAACGACCCACACAGGTTCGGTTCCGACAAGATGGTTTACTCACAGTGTGTGTCGAACAGGTCCACATGATGTACCGGGTCCACCGATACCGCTGCCGGGAAACGAGTAAAACTGTCCGGGTTTTGGTCCGTTCTCCCACAAACTTAGCTTCATACCGCTGGACTCCATGTTGGATGTGACGGAAGTGACGACACTTATTTCAAAACAACTTTATTGACAAAGAACATTTTGACACAGGCTAAGTTTCTTTAGCCTGGTAATGCTAAAAGTTACTTTAACATTGCAACAATTACATATTCCTGAAAATTTTAATTTCCTTTAACTGGAGGGTATTAAATGTCRGTATTTCCTATTTTTATGTTGTTAATTTGATGCCAGCGTTTTAAAATAATGCAAAACATGCACATTTTTTTCATTAAAAGTTCATTATAACTGGTTCAGATTATTGATAACAAGTTTTAATGTCTACTGGAAAACATCTTGATAGCTACTCATTAAAATCACATTCGTTAGAACTGATTTTAGTCTCTTGCACACACCCCGAGAGTCTAGTTGGATAGTCTGTCTGTTTATAAGAAAAATAAATAGCTCATCAACCAAAACTAAAGGCTGTATCACAAATATGCATCTTCCAGATTTATTTGCAGCTTTAAAATGTGCACTTGGAAGTTTATTATTCCTGCTTTAGGTTGATGAAAATAGCTTGTAAACGTTTAAAACAAGCTGTCAAACAGATCACGTCAGCTGTGCGATTGGCTTGCCACACACACACACACACACACACACACACACACTCAGCAGGTAGCAACATGTGTGGTGCAGTTTCCACCTGGGGCACGCCTGCTGCACAGTCAGAGTTGCCAGAGCGACCGGGCGGGGCCCTTATTGCTGCAACACGCCACACCTCCTTTGTCCATGGTTATAGGTACAGTCAGACAGAGAGACAAGCAGACAGAGGAGAGGGAGACAGCTGGTGGGGGTGTCAGAGTCCACTCCAAGTCATCAGGTGTGGAGCAGGTTCCTGTGTTTGTCCTGAACCCGTCTCACCCACCTCACCTGTCTCTCCCCACCTGACAGTGGACGGGGCTGATCTGCACGGCTGTAAGTCTGCTCCCTTTTAATCCTCTCGCTCTGAACTTTTTATGTTCTTTGTTTCCTTAAAGACCGGACTTACTTCGTAGTTRAGCCTCTGTCTGTCCTTGACAGTAAACAGTTCCTGTCAGATCAGGGTAGCACAGCACGATCCTATCTGAACAGGCTTTGTTTAGTTTTAATGAAGTGAAATCCTAATGAAGTTAGATTTTAACCAGTTCAGCATCGTGTCGACAGGTTCAGCCTGTTTCAGTTGCTTCTCCTTTTAATGTTCTCAGTTTTACAGGCAATCCCAGCTGATTTCTTTTTTTTTATTTTGCCAAATCAGCTGRGCTCTAAATCAGTGAAAACATCTGAGTCTGCACCACAAACTGATTTCAGTACAAAACTCTGCCAGTTGAACTTAATAATCCCAGATTTATTAAACATTCACCACAAATGAGCGGCCCTTCTGCTGCTGACAGTTAACCCCTGCCTGATTTGCCTGGTTTGTGTTTGTTTATTGAAAACAGGTTTAAAAGGTGACACTGTGGTTGGCAGTCGTTTGGTTCTGTCTGATTTGACTTCGGCTTCTCTAATCGACTCAGTCCGGTTGCAGCGTTCTTCTCCTTCGAATGCGAACTCATACTAAAAGCTGAACGGTAATATAAACCAGCGGTTCCCCAACCCTGGTCTTCTAGGAACACTATTCTGCATGCTTTAGATGCTTTCCTGCTTTGACACACCTGATTTATGAATGAGTCATTAACTAGCTTCTGAAGACCAACTAAAACATGCAGGATAGTGTTCCTCAAGTACCGGGATTAGGAACCATTGTCAGGAAAAGTATGGTCAGTACCATACTGCYGGCACCAAACTGTTACAAACCTGTTTTTTACCTGGTACGTGGCAAGTACCAAGTCCGTAACTGGTACTGTTCAGGTATTGGATGCATAACTGACAGGTACAAGGTACCAGGTTTCTACTTTCTAAGTACCCTGTACGTACCAGTTTGTTGTTGTTGTTTTTTTGATCAGTACATATTTCTGGCAGATCAAAACACTGGTCTGGAACCACCAACAACATGAACGCAAGTAGTGCCGTCCCAGCAGCCGATGGTGAAGCTTCCACTGGAACCTGGGCGATGAACACCACTCTCGCTGTGTTGCATCAAACAGGTATTTTTTTAAACACAAGAAGTCAATCATTACAGACAGTGTGGTCAGAGTGTCACAGTACTATTAAATAACTGGACTAAAATTTTAACCTGCGGCTCATTTATACACTTATTTTTTTAAACAGGAGACGAGGCAACGACAGACGGTCACTCAGCTGGTAAGAGATGCAGTGTGTGTTTGTCTTAAGTATGTCTCTTATTTTGCTGCTACAGAATTGTCTGTTGGAACAAAAAAGGCTGTTGTTAATGTTTTTGTTCTCAAGGTAAGGAGGAGGAACGCAGAAAGGAAACACCTGCTGCATGTGAAGAAGGTGAGAACATCAAGGTGACAGTTTGAGACGGGCCCAAAAATTTGTCTGTTCTTATTTTCTCACTTTTTTTTTTGTCAGCAGATGACCTGCAGGTGTTTGACTTCCAGCCAGGTAAATCCACACTGTAAAAAAAATCCATCTTCTTTTTTTTTTTTTTGGATAAAAACAATTTTCAGTTGAAAAAACTTGAAAAACTAAGTCATGTTGAGGACAATAATTTAAGTCAATCCAAAAAACCAAGGCAGTTATAATCTTAAACACAGTTGTCAGTACTTATATCTATAATTTGAAGGTCATTGCAACAGATGAAAGTGCTGCTAACTTCCATGCTTTTGTTGTAAAATGCGGGAAAGACAACTTTTGGATTTGGCTTTTGAATTGAAGGCAGAGTGAACTACTCGGACACAGAGCTCACAGAGATAACTTTTACTCATACTTCTGGTATGGATTTATCCAGTCCTATCTTTTAGTGTTAATAATGTTTAAAAATAGAACAAAATGGGAAGAAACACAAGTTGAAAGTATTTGTTTCCTTTTTCCTGCTTCTTCCTCCTTCTTCCTCCTATCAGCTCAGACAGCAGAGTTCTGGCTCCGCCTCTTTGTTGCTGAAATGGATAATTTTTTGAAAACTCACCTCTGAAAAAGACAAACACTTTAATTTGTGATTCATGAACCATTTTGAGTTGTGTTCTATGATGCTGTCACGTTCAGGCTTGATTTGGTATTTGTGTTACTGGGTTACTGACTGTATCTGACACCATGAGTTAAAGGTGTGTCACAGACGTATAAATGGGAAAATGGCTAAGGACCAATCCTGATGGATAGGTCAGATGTTGTCTATGTTGACACATGGTGATGCTAATGTAGTCAACATGTGGATAACTCTCTAATCATTATTATTGAAAAAAAATGTCGATGCAGCAATAAATTTTAAGTTACTGCAACTCACAGTTAAGTTCACATTTCAGGATTTATTGTTGTTAAAATCTGTAATAACTGGAGTAAGAAAAATATGAGCTTCATAGTTTATACTATTTAAACTCTAAGCACCTACAACTTTTGCTGAGTTACAAAAACATCTGGCAAAAGCAAAACTTAAACAGTTAATAAGGCAGTGGATGTGGTCTGTGCAAGATTAAAATCAGACACCACTCTCAGCAGCAGAACCACACTTTCCA